GGAGGTCCTACAGGCAGGTGGAGGCCACACACTGCTGAGCCTCATTCTGACGGGTCTGGAGGAGCTTCCACTGAAGCTGGATCAGCCTGTCATGTGACTTCACACTTTTATTTTGAGTATGAGTCCACATCCAAACCTCCATGGGACAATAATTCAGATGTACGTTGATCATGTTTATGTGATTTTGCTCTCAACACATTCCACCATGTGAGGAATGAAGATTCTCAGCTGGAATGTTTCATTCACTGAGATCCAGATGTTGTTTTTTATGGTTCCCTTCATGTTTGAGCAGAGAAGGCTATGCGGAAAGTTGTTTTTGTTTTCTCTTATTCATGACCTCTGCACACACATTCTCTTTCACCTCACACACACACACACACACACACACACACACACACACACCGTCAAAGCTGCCAGACCAGTCGGACAGATCGCTACGCCACAACCCAGAAACTCGACACACCTCTCTCTGCCTCCTTTCTGTCTCTCATCTCGTTCTCAGGCCATCATGAGCTCGCTAAGTGTCTGAGGACTGCATGGGAGAGCCAGAGGAGGAGGTGGACGTTCTACTGGTGTGGATAACAGAATTCCAAGCAGGTATGATGACAGCATGGTCAGCAGATAGAGACTTAGTGGAGTCCCTAGGGTTCAGCTCCAAGGTGTGTGGTGGTCACAGCGCTGACTGAAGTAGCTCAAACGGACTGGCGTTCATTCCAGGTTACCAGAGAACAGGACAGACATGATGTTTGGCAATAAAGCCACGAATATCTTGTTATGTGGTGACGTGTTGCTGCGTGTCTGCCATACTCAGGTGTGTCATAACCCGGTACCGTGCATACAGGTCATTTACACCAGCTTCTTGTCTGTTTCTTATCTGTGCTGCTTTTCACACTGAATCACAGTCAACATATCAACATTTCTCATTTTCATTTCTATTTTTTTTTTTTTAACTTTTACAACATTTTTTACAAATACAGACTCGTTTTCATGTCAAAGGGAAAACGGATTCCTGTAAAGTAATTTTCTAAAAATATGAAATTTAAATAGTGCATCAGTGTTCTCTCCCTTGAAGTCGATATTCTGTCAGTGCATCTGCTGAAACTACGACCAGCCTGTTTGACAAACAGCCGCACACGTCTGGACTTTGCAGTTTTGCTCCATGTTCATGTGTCCGGCTGCACGGGGCTGTGAGCGAACAGCGCCGAGTCCAGAACACATCCTCAGCTGGCCTGAACCTCAGAACACTCATCCTAACGCTATGAAACCATCCTCGTGTAGCTTTGGCTGCGTGTTTTGGGTCATTGTCTTGCTGGACAACAAATCAAGTCGTAGTTCTCCTGCACACTGGTTGTCTGTCAGGATTTCCCAGTACTCTGCTGCATTTATTTCACCCTCCACAGTTACAACCCTTCTTGTCTCATCAGGCTGGAGAGCCTTACTCTAATTGGCTTCATTGAGTTTCTCAACAGTCTCTGTCTCCTGACACTTTTTGGTAAAACTTTGACTGAGCAAGAAGCCAGGCAACAGCTGCTGTATGTGCAGCCTCTCCATCTCTGCTGCTGACGTCTGTGATCAGACGAGTCTAGGAGCCTTGGTGGCCTCCCTCACTGACTTCTTTCCTTCCTAGGAGCCTTGGTGGCCTCCCTCACTG